GTGGGCCACAATTTCCTCAGTATAGGTAATTCGACTGTGCCAGGCCGCACTTTTCGAAACCGAACAAGGCTTCCGCAAGTTTCAACAAGTCATCCACAGCAGACCAGGTAAGTCCGTGAGCCGCTATGAACGATAATATTAGAACGATAGCGACTGCAATTGTGGTTACTGATCCCGGAAGTGTCCTTGTTCCAAAATCCGCGATGCATCTGGCAAGCAATTCTGACTCGTCGAACGAGGGCACAGAACTACGGTCGCCAGAAATGTCTCCTTCGGCTCCAGGGTTTTCGTCTCGATCTACCGAAGCACCGTTGCCACAAAGATAGTCACCACAATCTTCTTCGGTTCCAGAGCTTGGGTCTTGATCTGTATCTCGGAAAGGTCGAGTGTCACCGTCTTCACTATCATTTTCTGAATGATTGCTTTCGTTGTCAGGGCATTCTTCGGGGCTATGGTATGCATTGTCGCCTACGCCATGCACGCTGTTAAAGGAGTCGTCGCTTCCTTCTGGCACCTCTCTTCGTACTCCTATCGAACTCGTATCAACAGAACAGCCGTTCGTGACACATAGATCTTCTGGTGATGCCTGGGACGCGTTAGAACTGTCTGGTGGCGAGTTCAAAACACCCGCGAGACGAGTCGTAACGGTCGCCGAAGCACTGCTGGTCGAGTGCTGGCTGTACCATTGCGTCGAACGGGGTACTACAAATTCAGTGTCTGGTCCTAAATACAACTTTCGACGTTTCTTTCCAGTAAGTTGACTCATGACTAACTAACCAAAGCACAACTGATCACCACAATACGATGGTGGAGGTAACGATACGGATGACGAGGATGAATGACAGCATTAACCGTAGTAGCAATATACTCGGTATAGTGCCTGGAATGTAAACGTATGACAAATAAACATAGTGGCGGAATGCTGACAGTGTTAAAGCAAAACATGTGACGATCAGCGACCCACTAAACAAAAATTGGCGTTCTCGTCGACAGTGGTGTTTAGATTCTTGCAATTAACGTGTACTTTTGCTATGTAGAGAACTTAACAGGTGGTAATAAAAGTAGTCACTTCAAGGAATGCACTATTTTGGTTATCTGCAAGTTTATGACTGCACAGACTTTTTTTAGCAAAGGACGGGACCGAGAGATTGTCTTTCCGTGGTTAGAGTTTCATAAAATAATGGTCTGCTCATAACTGTTATTATTGCCCACTGAGGCTGCTACCTAAAATTACTTTTCTTCATAAGTCCATCATTGAATGCCTCTGTATAAAGAGCCTGCTCCGAAACGAGAATTTTCCACCGGCAGCTATCCATATTCTCGAAATTTGTCATGTCTCAACAGCACTTCCCAGAAACCTGACCCAAACGTTTATCCACAGAATCAACTAAGAGAGCCGGAAAAAGGGTGAAGTAATATCACTAAACACTACTGATCGTGTATATGCGTCTTTTCTCCACGTTTGCAGTTCTATGAGCGCAGTGCTTCAAGCTCACATATCCGCTTTCCACGCGCTCGAGCCACACCAGGTCACACCTGCATTACTACCATCCAGGTCACTGCAGTAGCTAGGGGTGTTCAAACTCCTGCCCCCACCCCAAAAGAAATCTTTGGCTACATTCTGGGTCCTGGATACAGGTAGACACCTCGGATAACCTCGGATAGCAAACACGCTGGAGATTGACGTAAAAAATGTAGCCGCTTATAGGTGCTCTGAGTGCACATGCATATATTTGCATTAATCTAACCTGAAAAGATGCAGACGTGATTGCTGGCCAATGTCGACATGGAACTTTTTCATTTTTCGTTATGCTGCAGGGTGCCATCAATCGCTGCAGTATTACTGTTGGTCCTCCTTCGCCGATCTGAATGCATAGACGTACATGTTACGCACAGGGGTATACTCACGGGATAAATCGGGCTATTATTTTTTTTTGCATTGACGACTTGTACGCCCGAATACTCGAGATAGAAATATCATGTCGCGACAAATGTGGTTCCCATAAAGGCAATGTTGGCTCTGATCTTCGCGTCCCTGTCGAAGTAGTAGGCTGATATTGCAAGACTGGCTCATTACTTATTAAACAATTGTATCGGACCAGTTGGCATGAATCTACCTTGGTAGAAAGTGCAGTCACTATTACACAGAACACACAATAGAAGCGCTTAAGAGACGTTAAAAATGAAGAGCCCGCCGAACTAAAAATGTAAGTCAATAAACAATTGTATCGGGTCAGTTGGTATGAATCCATTTTCGTACGAAGTGCAGCCACTATTACACAGAACACACAACACAAGCGCTTGTGTTTTATGTTCTGTGTAATAGTGGCTGCACTTCCTACCAAGATGAACTCATTACTTAGTCCTAAATTAGCCTAATACGATCCCGAAGGTGGACACTCACATGCCGTGTGGCATGTGCATCAATTCTTTCCCGTTGCTTCACTGCTGATCCCGAAAGTGTGTGTTCGAATCCGGATTTCTAGTAGAAGCGAATATGCTTCAGGCCCTTGTACTTAGATTTCGGTGTGCGGCTAGGGACTCTATGTGGTCGAATTTTCTCAAGCACTCCGCTGAGGCGCATCTCTCATTTGTCATCGTTTTGGAATGTGAAAGCGCCACATTTATATTGTTATTGCGAGTGTTAGCATTCCATAATTACATTTCTAATATGCGAATGCAATATCGTTTCGATAATTATAGCAAGCCGTGCGCTTTTCTTTTTTATTGTGTCGTTCAGTGAATATCACATAAAAGCAGTCCAGTGGTTTATAGGCTGGTTTCTTCATTAATTGATTGGCACGATATTGTGGCGCCTATATATTCATAAATAGAATTACGGGTAATGTGTAAAACACGCACGTCTACCAACGTCTTTAAAAATAAGCAAGAAAAAAAAAGATGCAATCAAGTACATTTTATTTATTCCTCCAGTGTCCTGTTAAGTGGTAGATCTGGCGTGTGTTCGCAATTTGGATCCGCGAAAACAACAAGTTTTGTAATGTCCTAGCTGGTATCGTAACACATTTCCTTAAACATAACACTACCTTATACCATATTTGCCCCACGAACCCATCAACCCCCACGAAATATAGACGTAAAAAACACCCTGAAGAAGGAATACAGGCAAGTAAACTAAAAATACTAAGCAGACTTTTCGAGCTGAATGAGTTGTAATTACATTGTTCTACAACAGTCAAAATCATCAGAAATCAAACAGAACAACCCTTTTTTAACTTACTAGCGTGTTCTGTCCTCTAGTGACAAAAATACATTATTTTACGCGTACATTTATTTCAAAATACACAAATTCAGGTTTATTTTTTACTCAATAGTTGGCGCAATAACTACTGAACGATGTACAGGCTGGGTCGTTAGCTTGTTTAGTTTAGCCATTCCAAGTGCAGTTCTCTACGTTTGACGTTATAGATGTTTTGAATGAGTCCTATCAGGCGTGCCACGGTAGTAGTCTTTGCCGTCTTTTTTTTGGAGTCAGTGTAGATTTTACGCTCCCTTTAATTATGCCGGCAGCACCGAAGGTGGCCTACGTCATTTACGACGACGGTTACCGGGCTATAGTGAGCGTGAAGCTCATTAAGGACTTTGAGCCGGTGAGTGTGGCTGACTGCCACAAACACCAAGAAATATACTGGAAGAGCACTCAAGGAGGGCACGTCGACGAAGGCTATTATCGAGGAGACGTCATCCTCCTTGGTGCTGAGTTCTGTCTTTTTTGAAGTGTTAATTTTGGTGGCGTTTTGGAATCTGTTTTGCAATACAGGACAAATGCGTGGCAGACGTCGCTGCTCGTACGTGTGTTATTCGGTGCGTAGTCAAAATAAGGCGCACGGAATCGCTTGTGTATTTTCAGTGTGCCTTCTTTGACCCGTTGGTGGTGGTTGTGCAACTACTGCTAAGTTGTTCATGCTTATTAGCCCACGTAGCTTTTTTCGTGTGCACGTGGTGGTCATCTCGGGCACTCAATATATGATTTGCAATACGGTATGACCTTGCGGGCTGCAATACAAAGAGGCAAAACATTTTTCATGTATACTCTGAATGTCATTGGAATGTTTCAGCAGTCTTTCAGTCCACAAACGCACCACAATAGGGCTTAATCAAAACACGTGCGTAGCAGGAAAAACAGCGAGCATGTGATCATTCTTTAATGCAGGAAACAGAAGACAAATTGTGCACTCATTCACAGTGACAGTCATCCCGGTGGACGCAAAGATTGATTAGGAAGTCCGTGGAATGTTATATTGTGCAGCTGGTCGAGTAATTTAAAGCGTGCGATCCGTCGGCATATAGGCAGTTCAGGCAGGTTAGGCCTGTTTGACAATGCGGGTATATACTATGTCTTGTAACAACGCCATAAATGCCGAACTTGTGATCAGCTGAGCTACTCATATTTTCTGATTATCTTGTTCTAGTTTGAGCTTGATGCAATCTTTGCACCTAAACATTTCAACTGACAAGATCTTTGAACTGCTACGTGTCGAAGCTATAAAAAAATGGCGATGCCAAAATCATTTTGACGACTTAATATATGTAGATAATTTTTTCTCTGCAATAGATTGCAATGGTAATAAACTGGAACTTCAAAAAGCAGCTGCGGGGCAAGGTATAAGCACTCCTAGGAATGGTGTTGCTCGCACAGACACTAAATTACGTTCAAAAGCTTCGACTAATTGTTTTGATGATGTGTGTTCCAATAGCTCATATGTGATCACCTGGTAAATTAATTAAGATTGTGCTATAACTAGCAACATGTGGCTTGTCTCAAGGTTTAAATACTTGCATAACTCTTACCACCAGCCATTGACTTGCATCATCTAGAAGCGAATGCACGTACAGCTCAGCTTTATTTCTGCAGAACCAAACTTTTGTGGTAGAATAGATATATCTGTAGTTGTACTTTGCATGCATTTGTGGTCATCATACCACATTGGTGTTTTAGTGGCCTGCTAATATTTAATTTCGTTTGATAATTTCTGTAGCCACCTTCAGTGACCTTGTCCAGAAGATGGGAAAAAACGGCGGTCGGTTCCTGACACTGTTTTTATGACATAGACAGTGAAGAAGAGACAACTGTAAAGGTGACATACTTGAAACTTTTTTGTTTGTTTTTTTGAAATTGACAGTGACCTGCATCAGGCACCTGGGCAAGAAGTGACTACTGCATTTTCAAATATAGGTGCTAATACTGTGCTGTCAGATTTGGTACTTATAGCACTTTTAACTGTATTGAAATGGCATGTTTCTAAATTTCATGAAGCTGCAAAACAAGGACGAGATGTTCCCCCGTGACTGTGTTTGGCAGTTTCTTAGCAGCGGAAGTGGCTCAGAAGTTCTTTGAAAGGACAAAAGTCCTGGAGAGCTCTTCTTACGGGGCAGTATGTGTAGATATTGCAGCTAGTGTACACTGAGCATCAACTTTGAAGTGGTGATGAAATAACAGCTTCTTGAATAATCGCCCTCGCGTGGACAATTCCAATTTCGCGGTTTTACATCGAGCACCAGTTTTCTGATGTGTACGCGACACAGGAGATGCAAAGTCAGGGTTGCAGCACTCTTACAACCAATAGGTGGCAAAACATGCTGAGAAACTCTCCCATTGCTTTCGCAACAGTTAAGATGGCCTTAAGAAAAGGAGCATGCATGTGCAGTCTGTCGTGGCCATTGTCTGACAAAGAGGGGAGGAGGGCCCTTACAGGTTTTCAAGACAAAAAGTGCTGTAGAATAATGGTTATAGCTTGATTATTTATAAAAAACGTCAATTATAACTGGTAATCAATGGCAAGTAAACATAATTGAATTACCCAGAATGTTAGTTTTTGAAATGTAATTGATTACTTGAAACTCGTTTTGTATAAATCTGCTCAGTCTAAACCAAGATAGGTATGCGTAATATGGCTGCTTGTTACACAAATGGTAACTTTGCCTTGCATGGAATGACAGTAGAGAGAATAGTAGGCACAGAGCAGAAACTTCCAGCTTTCTGGTTACAATTTACATTGTGACCCATGTTAAATTTTACAGATATGCATTTCTCAGCCTATTTGATGCCATAGTGTGTTAGTGTTGTCGCTTTTATCATATTATGTGGCAAAAATAGTTTTGTTTTAATACAGTCAAGGTAACTATGTGTTTGTTGATGTTATGATGCAGTTAAGAATTTTTCTAGACAATTCGGTGCACGTTTAGGGGGTGCGGAAAATGCACTGTTTCAAATCGAAGATCATTGCAACTGCGGTGGCTGTGGTGGTTATCGGTACACCTTGCATTGTGAGAGATGTTATACTTTTGTCACATGGCAAATATAACGCCATTCACAACAAATTACATTAAGCGGACCTAATTTCATTTTAACTGCGTGCTGTCCCACGACAAAAACAAATGTCGCTTTGAAATCCCACGACCCTCCTGATGACCCTCCTGACCTATGTCTTAGGGAAAAATAAACATATAATAAAACTTGCATGTAACATGCGTGTATCCACAAAAATAATTTTTATAGGTGGAAAGGTGCACCTATAATAAAAAAGTGGCGGTTTTAAATAAAAACTTGCCACAGCTGCACAACACGCTCGAATACCGTTGGCCGATGGTATGACCGGGCATGAGTACAGTCAACTGAAGCAGGGTGCACAACGGACTCCCCCGCTGCAAAAATGAGACGGCGATAAATGAGAAAGTCACCACCTTGGTCACCACATGATTAACATCCACAATACAGGCAATAACGACAACAGGACACAAACAAAACATGCCCTGCGTTCAGCCGCTGTAATAAAAAGTAGCTTCTTTTTGATGCGATGGCATCAGAGAGCTCGATTTGCAGAAATCTCGGCGTCGGCATCATTGGTTGTGAGCGAAAAATCATCTTATGCACTACTGAAAAATCGAGAATGATGCAAATAAACAATAAAAATTCTTGAGACAGAGTGAGGATTTATTGCAGTGCGTTTGCATGACAAGTGAATGTTCCATCACACGGCCTTGCATCTGTTTTGAAATACACTGAAAGAACTTCCTCTGCTTGGAAATGCAGTGAAATTACCTTTCATACTTAACAAACACACAGGTCCTGTACACGTGCTTTACAACGCAACATGAAATATTGCAGTACTAATGCGTGGTACAAGCTGCCAATTTCAGCAGGCGTCATAACATGTCATTATCATAATGGCTTCGTAATTTGAACCAGTAACCCACTACAAAAGGCACATGCGCTACTGTACCTATTTCCTTGAGGCCACATAGTGGGTGCGTAACAAGTTCGAAAAGGTTTCATGCATCAAGTGTTCGATGCACGCAGTAGCAACAGGATATCCTTATCGCCTTCAACTCCTAAAAACAAAGCTTTAGGGTCACTTAATTGATTTTTTAACTTTTGCTCGTGCTATCATGTAATCAAACCAGTTATAAGTTAAGCAAGTAAGGACAAAGTTATTTAAAAATTATAAAATCTATATATACCGAAGGTACAGCCATTTCCCTAAAAGTCCTTGGCATTGAGACTACTCCGTCGGAAATCGAATGCGAATGTGTTCCAGGAACTTGTTCCACAAAAAAGGTCGTTTTCATCAAATGGCATTAGTTTCCTCGTGTGACAGCAAAGAAAGGACATCGCGAACGAAGGACATCGGATTTTCTGTGTAAAAGGGTGTTAGAATGCTCACTAGTTATGACTGGAATATGCTACGTATCAATTTAACACATGGTGTAATAGTGCAAATTTGATGGGGACACTGAGGACAAGAAAACGCGGCACTCGCTAGTCTCACATGCAGTGGCGTGTTTTCTTGTTCTCTGTGTCCCCGTCGAATTTGCGCTACTACACTATATGTTGCAATGATATCTCACCAACTAGCCCAGCTCTCAACCCTACTGAACTTCATACGCTAGGTACTTGCTACAACCTGAATTATGTTTGTATCAATGGAGCGTGTATGTTTCCTGGCATATTTGCTCGTTTTCGGCTTCTAATCATTGATGTTGGCTTTGGATTGATGTGTTTATTTGCTAGCATCCAAAAAAGAAAAAAAATGAGCAACCGAGAACAGCAAAGAAGCGCCGCAGCAGTGAAAGCTCCGAAGAAGAGCTCGTCAAACTGAGTCGGCTGAAAAAAGAGAAGGACCTTAGGAGAAGGCAGCTGAAGAAAAAAAAAGAAGACTACAGCAAAGAGTAGAAATACTTGAGAGGATTAACAACAAGCTGAAAGACATGCTGCGAAACAAACTCAGTAAGCTATATTTCTTCCACGCCACCTTTAAGGATTTTTTAAAAAATGATTTTTCATGCAGTCAGTGAGTGTTGTGGTAATGTGTACCCTAACACAATTTTGGCATCTTCATGTTATTTCAATGCTTTTTGTTCCACAAAAAGGAAGTCGTACCTGAAATAGCCCTTTGAGTTATTGTCGTAAGGTCGACATCCTATTTCGTGGACACTCAAGGGATCGCGAAATGTTCGGAAAATCACGCAGTCTGAAAAAACGAATGCAAGTAAAAACACCTTTTTAAATAGGTATTTTCACTGACGGAAAAGGTAACGGCAAGACTACAGGATTCTCGTTGCAATTAGGTAAGTGCATCATTTAGGTAGCCCTGAAAACAGTCATTTGTAATAAAAAAAGCGAAAAGAAAAAAATTGATGTGACCGACGCTACTGCATTTGTAAACATTAGGCGCTAAACGGACTCGCTTATTTTCGTTTGCGCGGAGCTCCACTTGCCCCGATTATGTCAGCCTCAATATCAGCTGATGTCGTGCTGTCACTGTACACCTATGACGATGTCATTTTCACGTCAACACCGAACTGGTTGCCTGTGTAGGCTCTGCCTCTTTTATCCCTGTGTCGGAGTTGTCGAAACCTTTCGTAACTTGAATAGATTCATCACCGGTCAATTCCGCACACAGCTCAAGGTTTTTAAAAGCGTCGGCGAAGCCCTCGAAGTTATCCCGGCTGAAATGGAAACACCAGCACCGTGAAGGTCGTTGAAGCAACGACCGCAGTTGGAAGTTCTTTACGAACGCTGACCTCTCTAGGCGAGACTGCCGTCTTGGCGTACATTTTCAAGCTGGCGTGGCAAAAACAGTTCCTGGGAATCTGTTGCGTTACCGCCTTCTATGAGTCCGGAAGCATGCCAATGGCAGACAATAGGTCAACAGCGTAGCTTTCCCGCCGCACCACAGCCTAATAGTAACAGTAGTAGCAGCACCATGCAGCTGTGGCCACAGGTTTGTCTAAACCATGGCTGGCAACAAATTGGCGTGCGCTGGATTCCGGCATTTGCGGTGTCGAGGGTACGGCAGCCAGATCTCAGAGGGTTCGAGGGTACGAAAACAACTAAAATAGTGGCGCTGATAGTGGCCAAGTCCGCTGTTGGTGGTAAAAAGTTTGAAAACCGAACGGTGAAAGCTATAAATGTCCGAAATTTTGGACTTTTTATTACATTGACACCATGGGGAACTTGATGGTGCCACAGATCAGTCCGGGAATTCACGCATGCCCAGGATTTCCGTCGTCCGAGAAATCGGACGTTAATTGTATGATCAGAGATAAAAGAACCATTGGAGTCTTTTATGGAATCAGATATGTGTGAAAGAGTGGCCACTTAGTATGAAAACAGCTGTGATAGTTGCTGAATGGTGTTTCCTTCTGCGACAGCGCAGTGGTTACAGCAGCACTAGCAGGAAATGGCAGCCAGTAAAGCATATGTTCTGTATGAATGGACTCCGCTCCTCGTACCCTTTTTCACCAACTGGAGACGGCTCACGCAAGGTAACAGAAAATATATTGGCGTTAGGCACGAAGCCATCCGACCCCACCCACTGAAGTGCATTTTTTCTCATTATACTAATGTGTAACGGCGGGGGGGGGGGGGGTCAGGCGGCTTAGCAGAGGAGGAACATATAACGTCACTACCCACCCTGCCAGAACTATTAGCTTTCTCCAAAAAAATTCCCTAACAAAAATGCATCTCTTTAGCAGAAATCAACCAATAGAGAGGACTGCCTTTGGGAACTATGAGGAACAGTTTGAATTGTCTGACGCTTAGAGGAGTTGTTAGCGTACAACTTACTCGAGAGCAGGGCTGGGCAGTATCGCGATACAAGAGTATTGAGATTGTATTTCAGAGATACTTTTGAGTGTTTGTATTGCTGTATTGAGATACTTTTTGAAAATGTATTTGTATCCCAGTAGTGAAGTACTTTTACGATGTATCGCCCGTATCGCAATATTACCTAGGGCATGCGTATGTGGTAACCTTTTTTTCGGAAATGAGCTGAGACGTGTTTACAATGGCAAAAATTTATGCTGTCACCTTAGCATTGTGTGGCGAGATATGCACCCACCATTTCTACATTTATTCTCAGGGGGTAGCTGACTCCTACCTTCTTGATATTGAGCTAGTTGCTTTTGTACCTGCATTTCATTGTGCAGGCAGAACTGGAATGTGTTTGAATAATAACCTGCTTGGGAGCTTGCCAATAATGTTATAGTGCCATTTTGAATTCCAGCAGTGAGGAGCATAGAATATGGCACATTGGGCGCCAACCAACAGCGTCGTTTTTAAAATGTGTTCCCTCGTGCCAATTTAACGAGCAGTGCTTCTTTTTTCTCGTTTTTCTCCTGTTTTTTGCGGCATCTATTTGAAAAAGCGGAGCTTATCGAGGAAGCCACAAACCACCCCAAAATTCGGCGTGTGGTGCCGAGTGCCATCAACGATACTTCTTTTTCCAAAGCATTTCTGGAAGACAGCAAGTGCGGCCACACGCTGTCTAGTCGTAGTCAAATATGACCAGCCCAGTTTCAAGTTTCCTGTCTACAGAAAAAAAAATCCACAGCATCAGGTACCGGCATTGACTTGCTGCAACTGACAAACCAGAATATATCAATGGTTGTCTCACTTGTCACTAGAACCAATAGCCTCTGCACAACGCAGACTAGCAGGGCTCCTGACTTACAGCAAGTGCACAGAGATCTCTTAGCATCCGGCTATCCGAACTCTGGTTAAACGCCAGCTCTTTCAGCCGCAAAAATTTGACCGTGTATTTCCAAGAATACGTGCCGCTATACCGTACGTGTCTGATGCGTGCGAGTCAGGCATTACGATGTCCAAGTAGTTCCGTTCCTACAAACAAATTGCATTATCGCCAAGTAAAGATGAAGGACAAAAAAGAAAGGTATCTTGATGCTTATTGCATACCTTGTAGACTGTGTGTATATATCAGTGAAACAGGAAATTTCGAACATCAACTCAGACAGCATGTCAATGATGTCAACGAGGTAAAGGTGTCTTCCAACGCCTTGGCAAAACACCCTGAAAACTTGAGCAATAAAATAGGTTAGGATAATGGCATAAGCTTGAAAAAACTCTTCAGGACACCACTAATAATCAATGCTGATTTAAACAATGGATACACATAACACATGTAAACAAGGATAACACATGGAACCTCCTTTTTTATCTATACTCGCTGTTTTGAGTCACTTTTGAAGACCTCATAAGCGTATTTTCACTCTGTCTTGCTGTCACTCTGAACAAGACTCCCATCATGGGAGCTGGAATGTCCTATTTGTATTCCTTTTCGTGGTTGGTGTCATAAATTTATCATGTTCTCACCCTAACAGACTTCTGTCAATATCTCAACTTCACCCATCTTTTGAGTGGAGTGTATACTACACTATGCATGGCATTAATTTCCTTTTGTTTATAACAGGTTTTCTAGAGAGTAAAGCGGTAAGGCAACTTGGTTGGAGCACTTCAGAGTATGAAAGAGTTTGATGGCACTCGAGGAATTTAGCAAAAAGTACTCCGGTAAAATCGGGAAAAATATCAGCCTGACACGCTGGTGTAGATTTGAGAAAATACCACAAAATTGTGTTCGTAATAATCAAATTGTGATATATTGAAGTTCTGAAAAAGTAATGCTTCGTTGAGGACGCAATTAAGAAATGTACCCTCTTTATTTTTCACATTTGCTCTTTTCCAGAAACATTGGCCGGCCGTTCTTGTTGCCACCACCAATGCCACACAAGCGCATCAAATAATCATGGAGCCTATGAAAATGAGGCCACCCACAGGAGCATTCAAGAAAAGGTATGGGCATATGACAACGCATTAGGATGTTTCATTAAGTGAGAAAAGTGGCCGGCAGCACTAACAAATGTGACAAATATCACCTTGTGATGCCATCACCGTGGCGTCAGAATTGAGTTTCCCCAATTTGTCGTGTCATCACGACGTCACATAATGGCATTGCTTGTTTTAAGGTTGGCTATCCCGGAGGCATTTGTAAAACAACTGGGAGCGCAAAAAGCTGTTGGGAGTCGTGGCGGGTCGAAACAATCGACTTAAAAGAAAAAGAAAATTTTTGTTATCTGTTGTTTAAAAGCAGTCGTGGAAGGCGAATGAAACTGTGCCCATTTGTTGTTTTCCTGCTTCAATTATGATTAGCCGATTTCACAACATTTTGATGCAATATTCAGTCAACCTTGTGCATCATCACACATTGCTGCCCAACTTATCAATGAGAAAATACATTTATGGTGGCACAATCGAACCAGTATGGTACTACGAACCTCACTCAAATATGCCTCGGCAACAATGGCTGCGCTGCCACGTTTTGTTAACAACGGAGACTTCTCATAAGTCGACTTAAAGTGATGTCAGCAGTACAGTTGAGGCAAACTTGCGAGCTGGAGAATCAAAGTCATCGACCTTCAATGTTGGATTACCGGCCCAGAAATCTTTTGTGCCAAGGAAGTGCTCATTTTGAAATAAAATCACGTTTTAGTGGTCTGCATCACGTAGCACACTTCAATTTACCGGCCTCAAGAAGCGGAAAGTTTCACGTCACTGTTGCCGTCCACAACGTTGCGTGGCTTTTTACTGTACGGTTGCCGACACTACTAGCGGAACTAAAGCACCAGGAGCCGCAACAGCTACACCGGCCATCGATCAATTTCCTACAATAGGCTCCGTGATGGCAGACATCTTTTGAATCCATTAAGCCCCGCAAGATGGCACGGCCTGTCTAGTTTAACCAGGAAAAAACTGATTTTTCTAACCACTTGTGTCATTCCCCATCGTAACTCCCGGCGGTTTGTTTTTTCATGAGCCAAACAACTAAACAAGCAGCATTTTTTACGTCCTTTGATGCTTGGAAGGTTCCTTATTTAGTGAGCTAGTTTGATTACTAGGGAATAAATGTAAACAGTTTGTCCGACATCATAAGGACCATTTCACGAACGTTCTACTGCGGCGCATTTGTTCCCGTGCATTTACCCTAATTTCTCAGTGTGTAGGGCACTGATGTTGATAATACTGTCGTTTTAGATGTCACACATTGAGTTTTCACTCTCCCGTGAATTGTTATTTATTATTTAGCATGTTTGAAAAGATGAGATTTCACTGTATTGAACCAAAAACAAAGCAACGAAAGCATATTGTAGTCAGTTTAGACAGGTTGGATACAATTATAAAACTGACAAAAAAATTCGATTCAACCTGCAAAAAGAAAGCTGTATGCTTCAAAAGTGTAATATAGATTTTTTTTTGCATTTTCAGGCAAGGTCGTTGCAGTTCATGCAGCCATGGCTGCAGGCATCACCACCGCTGCCACCCCCACCGTCGCCACCACCACTATTTCCGTGCTCGCCATTGTTTCCAAAAGGATGGTCAGGAACACTACCTTAGTTACTGCTACCAGAGCCTCCATCGCCTTCTTGAGAGCAGCCACGGATGCAGCCATGCCCGTTGATGCCACTGGTACCACTCGCTAGAATTACTTCAAGTGGTTCTCAATAACCTACCAGCCATATATTTACTACTTTATAATTGAAATGACTGTTTCCTTTTTTTTCAATCCGATTTAGTGTTTATATTGTCAGGCTAGCCTCCTGGTCCTTTTCAGTTTGTTTATTTAATCAATATACATCTAGTATTTGTTAGTGGTCAGCAGACAAGTATTTTAAAGTTGAGCGAATTCAGTGAGACCATCTGTAAATGGCGAATCGCATTGGTTGAGCAGGATCAAAGTTTTCTCGCCCGGTTCCCCTGGTCAATTCAGAGCAAGTTCGCGCTTTCTACTGGCATATTCGAAGCAACCCACTCCGCAAGGCGGCTTCCATGTTGTTTCATCTGGCAGAGGTAGATTTTTCTGTAACTCCGGCAATACAGGGCTGTCATTTTTGGTACGATCGGGAAATAGGGTTGTTTTTAACGTTTTTTTTCGACAGTAGTAGCAGCAGCGATCACAAACCGTGTGTGGAATCGATTTTTAAAAAATGCAACATCTCCTTATATATCATATCAAAAAAAAAGAAATATTGCCTGACCAGTTGTGCAGATGCCCGAAGATTATCGGCTACGTCGAAGAAGTTCAAGAGCCGGTTTAAGTGCCGTATGCATAAAGAGCTTCTGCAGCGACCTCATGCACAGCATTCGTGTGTTCCAGTGGCAGAATTGGCGTGGTGTAGGACGTTTTTAGATACCGTCCGTTGGGTAAGCACGCGCTGTCGCAGTGGCGAGGAGCGGCCCCCTCTAGCATCCCGTGGAGCGGCGGCACGGCTGTCGCTTTGGGATTGGTGAAAGAGCGTTGTCTGCTACCTATGCATGTGAAACAACAGGAAATTATTTTCCAAATATGCAGATTTAGCTAAAGTAGCTAAATGAGGGCCGAATGAGTACATACTACTTAGTGATAAATAAGGTCCGGGCCTGTACCTAAGAAGTATGTCTTGACCATTATCTTCAAGATATTTAATGGAATAGCAGCTGTTCAGGCCTTGAGAACTGCAGGGTAATTTGGGGGTTTGAAGAAGTACTGCTGATCACAAGTGTTTTCTTCATAAGCATAGCCACTTAGACAGCCTGACGCACTGTAGGTCGGCATGTTTACTATGTTTACCTGCTAATTCACTCAAGCTTGCTTGATTGTTGTGTACCATAATAAATACTATTTGCGATGGCGGAAATCTAACATTCATGCGATGGCGGAAATCTAACATTCTAACATGGCGGAAATCTAACATGAGCAAGCAAACTAAAAGAAAAAATAAATTCAACGCTGCCGCGGGAAGCCAGCGGTAGCTCGTTCTCAAGGCTACGTTAGCGCCACACCCCTCGGAGCGCGTACGAGTCGGTGCCGCCTCCAGAACGGGCTTTTCTTGTTGTTGTAAGCCGTGTTGGTGTAAGCCATGTTGGTGTAAGCCGTGTGCTCGCTTCAAGACATGGGCGGCTGTTCCGGATCTCTGTCTCATTCTACATATTAATAGTTGTACACGTAGCTTTACTCACAATAAAACCTAAATGTAAATTTACAAAGACTTTAAAGCTAATTGCATATGCTTTTTGCATGAATAATTATTCTTGACAAGCTAGCTTTAGGAGATGAAATTCTTCAAGTGTGTGGAGCAAGTTCTATAATTTAATCACTGTAAAGTAGGATGTCATTCTGCCATAGTTGGTGTATGGTTAGGTGTAAGGAAGTTGTAATGATGGGCAAACCTTGCATAATTAGTATTTTTGAACATTCTGTAACAATTTAGTTCATACAAAAGCTAGTTTGAATACTGTTATGATTAAGTGATAACTAAACAAGTCAGATACAAGTAGTATGAAGTTAGCCTAGACAAGGCGAGCAGCATTAGAGTAAAAAGAACTGTTGGTAATTATGTGTATGCCCTGATTCTGAATGTTTTCTGTTAACAAAAGAATATTGTTATGCATATTTGCCCATGTAATAATGCCATAGGTGATATGACTGTTTATGAAAGTAGGACAACAATTAGGCATCAGGGAAGATAAATAAAGATTAAATGAGGTCTTGTACACCGAAGGCAGTTTTTTGATTAGCATAAGCAATAAGATGGGTAAACTTCACGTTAGGCTGAAGTTTTTGGCCTATAAAACACACTAAATCGCAAGAAATAAATTTTGATAGTCAATTAAAAGAGAGCGTTGTTTTAGAAACTGTATAAATTATGAACTTTTAATTGGGATTAAAATTAAGTTGTGTAAATAACACCGTGTAGAACATTGATCAGTTGGTTGTGCAGCTCAGCGATTGGGCTCTTAACAATTTATGGAGCATGAGTTGAAAAACCAATAGGGATAAAAGCTTTACCAGCTGCTATTGGTCTGAACAAAGCAAAAATTAGGGTTGATAGTAATGTTGTGTCTGAAAATTAAGAAAAAAAAGTTTTGGAAATAATGCTTACCTTTCATACCTTGAAGCCATGCTGGCATATGTGTGCCTAGTTTTTTTTTTTTTTGCTCATCGACTTTTTCTTTTGTTCTGCCTTTTAGTTTTGGGTGCCAGTGATAAACTGCCGCTGTTTTTCCTGGTGAACAATCAAGTAAGTAGCTTTACAGTACCTTGATAATTAGGGCTAGTTGGTATTGGTTCATCTTTTAACTGAATAAAGGCACGCACAGACTCTTGAACACTGCTTATGTTGTGTGCATTTGCTTCTAGTGTCCGTGTCTGTGTGCATGCCCTTATTCAGGTAAACAATGAAGTAGCTTTACTTTTTGTAAATTTATGTTTATTCTGTGCAATATTATCACTACTGGGTTGAATGCATAGTTATGCAACTTGCGTTGCACTTGCACTTCTGTGTATGTTTATGCTTAGTTTATTCAAATATTACGGATACTTTGTAAATTATGAACTGGTGACTTTAGAGATTAAGACGTTACTTCACAAATTACCAGTGCCATCTTCTCCATTACCCTTTTTTGGAATGTCACGGCATTCAGTACAAGCTTCATAAATATTTTTGTGACAAGTCCTAATGTCAGAAAGAAGGGAAATGAATTGAGGCTCTCTCTTTTTGATTCCTGAGTGCCTCCTATTATTGTACTTGACAAAAGAAATTTTCATCTGCAATATACAAGAGCACTTGTTGTCAGTGGCAGCTCTAAGTACCTTTTAGGGTGTCTGGTGGTCTCTTATGTTTTAGTAGAATATTATGGAATCAACATAACTAACAACTGTAACATAGCTGTAAGATATGTTACACAGTTGCTAATTTAACTTTCACACATGAGCCGCCGTGATAGCTCAGT